TTTGTGCATGGGTGGGTCCGGCCAGCCTGACCAGGGGGACATGGGTGGTTGGCCAGCCTGCCTGCTGGTGGAACTCCTGGTTGAGAGGACAATTTGTATATTAGCTTTTTATTATATTAGCCTTTTAATAATCTGGCCACTCGGTGTATATATATATCCAGCCTAGCATGTGCCTAAACCATAACAATGAATGAAAGAATGAGTGTGGGGTGTATGTGTGTGCATGCATACACTTGTTTGGATATGATTCAAAACAGCGTTGATGGTGTAAAATGGCCTAAATAAATAACTTCTGATATGAAAAAGATGACAGATACATTCCGAGGGTCTGTATGAAACAACATGCAATCAATTGTCAAACCACAACCCTGGTTCCCAACACCCCATGGGTAACATTTTGTCTTTGAACTATGGGCATTTAAATTCCAAGGGCATTTAAGCTCCAAGGCCCTTTGACGATGAAATACAGGTTAATTCCATTTAAAACCACTAGGTGGCGCCTGTTCTAGAAATTGCAAAACGACTGTTCACAACTTGAAGCTTTGGTCTTCCTGGCCTGGAGGTGAAATGTCAAGTTCCCGTAGGTGAGTATCGGAACTTCCCAGGGGGCCAGTGGTGCCAGGCTCGGTTTGAGGAGCCAATCCCCGGAGAGGCCTGGATTCATGACTCTAATTATGAACTCACTCTATCGAAAATAACAGCTCCCTCCCACCACCTCCTCATCCTCTGTCCTTTGAATCTTATTTTCTTTATAATAGTTATCGCACTTGACTTTACAACATATGTTTGTTAGTTTACTTTATGTCTCCCTCTACTAGAAACTCCATAAGAGCAAAGGCTTTATTTTGCTCACTGCAGCATCACCAGCTCCTACAGTACCTAGCACTTCGTAAGCCCTCAATAAATATGGTACAGACGTGAATGAACAAACACATAACAAAGACACAAACACATTACTAGTTCCTAAGGCATCTGGCGGCATTCTCCAATGAGGTGCTCTGAAAACCAAGCAATGCTGAGTTACTGCATTGTTCCCAGCAGGTGGATTTAGTTTGTATCCCTTTCGTTCAGCCAGAAAAGTGGTTTTATTTCCTAAACCTATTTTGATCCTGCTGTGTTCTCTGAGAAGTTACCCCTGCTGAGTACGTATGCCCTTGTGCCTGCCGATCACCGAAGCAGCCTTGCTGGACCATCAGGGTGGTCTCCTGCAGGCTGGTCAGGACTGCCGGAGGGAGAAGGAAGCGGGGTACCACCAATATTCAGGGCACCTCTGACCTGGGCTCACAAGCCCCCGGAGTAAGTGAGATGTCACCGAAATGAAAGCTCACCACGGCTTCTCATTTCCCGTGGATGGGCCTCTCCTGGCCACACCCAGGACCCGGGTTTGGAGGAGAGCTTGCCTAGCAAGTAGCCAGATAACAAGGCCTCTTGGCTTGGGGAGGGACTGCTTCACTCCACCCTCCCCTAACCCACTCTGCCTCGCAAATACAGGCTCAGAGTGACGAAGGCTGAGTAAGGCCTCAGGAACCCCCCCCCCTGCTATGGGACAGAAAGCAGAGATGCTGACAGCCCTGGTAAGAGGCCCTGCTTCTGGGCTGAGGGGCCCCGAGTGTCCCAGGGGCCCAGCAGCCCTGGTGCATCTTCCTGCAAAGACCAGCCCGTGGGCAAGTGAGACCGTGCTGCAGGAGGTACAGCCGCCCCTTCCCCAAGTTCCATGACAACTTAAAAATCACCTGCAAACCTAAATCCAGTGAGTGCCTGCAGACAACACCCTTCACAGCCAGAGAATGATTCAGAGCAAGCAATTTTCCACTGTGAAGAGAATCATCTGTTAGTGTGAAGAGGCCAACCCTCTTTTATTAGCATGGGAAACGCAAGGGAAACGTTGCTGCATCCACAAATGGCTCCAGAACAATATCCACAGCTGGAAGGAAGGACTTGAACAGATTCCACTCCCACTCAGCGTTCTCCCACAGAATTTGCTCTCTTGGAGGGAAGGTGAAACTCGGCTTCCTGTTCACTTAATGAGCATCTCCTCCAAGTCCCGGTCCCTGTGCCACACAAGGAGCCCCAGAATCCAGAGCTCCCTGGCCTTCTCTCGTCTGCACACCTTTCCCAGGTGACCTCAATCAGTCCCATGTCTTTATTCTGTGACATTAAAATTCATATTCTGGCCCTGACTTCTCTGGGTCCTCACAGAACCAATTGCCTATTTGAACGTTCATTTGTGTAGTCCATCTTCACTACTATCCCCTTAACCCGGTCCACCTCATCTCCCGTCTGCATGACTGCTTGGTTGGTTGCGATGGCTTGTTAACTGTTCTCTGGCTCCATGCCTCCTTTCTAAAATCTGCTCTTCGTACAGGGCGGTCTTAAAAATACAAGTCAGATCATGCCACACCTCTGCTTAAAACCCTCACAGCACACTAGGATTAAACCCGAACGCCTCGTTCTGGATTCGAAAGCCAGAAGTGCTCTGGCCCCTGGTCTCACCCTGGCCTCCTCTCCGACCACTCACCTTCTCACCAGACTATAATCCACACACACGCGTGTTCCTGCCTGGCAGTCTTGGCACGTGGCTCTCCTCTACCTGGAATCCCCTCCCCCCCACCCCACCCCAATTTTCCCAAGGCTGGCTCCTTTTTGCCACTTAGTTTTAAGTTGAAATGTCATTTCTCCAGAGACCATCCACAGTCCACACTCCTAAAGTAGACACACAGTCATCTGTTGCACTCACTTATTTTCATTTCCAACATAATACTTACTATGAACTGATACTTTTTATTGGTGATTTATTTGTTTGTCTCTTCCCTCTAAAATGTATGCTCCGTGAAGGCAAGCACCTTGTCTGTCTTGTCACTGATCCCTAGGGCCTAGAAGAGCGCCAGGCCCAGAGCAGACGTTTGGTGAATAGTGGATTTAGCAGGTGGCAACAGCAGCCCCAGCCAGCCAGCCTCCCAACAGGACCACAGCACCCTCAGGTGGTTGGCTGGTACAGAGCGGAAGCTTCCGGAGGGCCTCAGAGGCCCGTGCGTGTGCTAGGGGCTCAGCTCTGGTGCGTGGGCCTGCTCCCGGAGGCTGCTTCACAGAGGCCAGGTTTGTGCAGCCTCCCTCCCATTCCTGCCCTTCGTATGAAGTCAGCAACACAGATGCGCAGTCCTGAGCACAAAGTCACTGCTGTGCTGGGACAGGGATGGCCGGGTTTAGCTCACCCCACTTCCACACCCACCCGCGCCACTGACTGGGGTTCTATCACATTCGACTTTTCCTCTGATGTGGAGACTCAGAAATGTAGGCAAAGTTCCGGTATTACAAATTCCAGGTGCTTGTTTTAATGGTTATTATTATTATTTTTTTTTTAATAAAGAAGTTTACATTTTTGAAGAGAAGTTTGGAAATGGGTTTTTCGGGCCCATCCCAATAAAGAAGAAACGTTTGATGAGGATTTTTCAAAAAGATCGATGTTATCAACAGATTGAAAAACAAAACAAAGCAATGAGGTGAAAAGTGATCCAACAATAATGAAATAGTCTTCATTTTCTTTAAAAATATTTGTTAACTGCTCTCTGCCTCCATGCCTGCTTTCTAAAGTCTATTCTTCATACGTCTTAAAAATACAAATAAAAAATATTTGTTAACCATTTTTTAGTACTTTGGTATAGAGAACTGTATGTACAATTAGTTTTTTTTGTTGTTTTTTTGTTTTTTACAAAAGAATAACACACTATGATTGTGTGCAGTCAGCCCATTCATTAGGGAAATGGCAGCTTGTTGGATAGAAATAATTTTTATTTACTGTAATGAGATTTTTGCCTATAGGTTTACATTTTTTAAAATTCAGTAATGTCAAAAATTCAAGTTCCCGTGGGAGAAAATGATGGCGGGGCCCTGCTGTGCTGATCAGAGGTGAGATGATCCTGAGATACAGAAACCAGGATCGGTGTAGCTGCTGCTGGCAGTGGGGTGCCCATTAGGAGGTGAGACCACCCTCAGTGGCGCTGCTCATGTGCTCGGAGCTGAGTCCGCCTCTGACCTTGGAGCGTGGGGAAGGAAGGCACGCCTAACACTCTGTCCCACCTGAACCTCGGACACCCATAGTGGAAAGCCCACTGTGGAAACAGGACCCTCGGCAGTCCTGACTCAGGGTGTGTGAACTTCCCTTTCCATGAAGGTAGATGGCTCTGACCGGAATGCTCCAGGCCTGGACACTGTGCCCAGGCCCGTGTGTCAAGGCACAGCTGGTGCTGGAACCTGCGCTGTGGACTTGCTACAGGTGGGAGTTAGCCACGAGGAAGGCGTCAATGGGCCTACGTTATTATGTCTGAGGAAGTGCTCAGTTTTTAGCTCTGTATTTCTAATTCTTTCTGCTTTAAGTATTTATTTATTTATTTATTTATTTATTTATTTATTTATTTATTAATAATCAATGCTTAGAATTCAAGCTCCTGAGATCAAATTTAGGCCACACAGACTGGAGGAGAGGGCCGTGGAGACACAGAGTCCTGCCAGGTCTCAGGTGTGGGGATGGTCCCTCCCTTCCTCCTTCCTTTCTCTGCCTGTTCAGAGCCTGAACTCAGGGCACAGAAGGGTCCTTAGGGAGGGCTGGGCTGGAGGAAGCTGACATTTCAGACAAGGCAGCCCCTTCCGTGGCCTCCTTTCCCTCAGTGCGATGGAGGAGGAATGAGAACAGGAAAGACAGGTGAGTCTCACCTGAGCTGACAGGTCCAGCTCAGCCAGCCCTGGGCGTATCCAAGACATCTGCCCACAGCCCGTGAGAAGTGGGTGAGACCCAAAGCCATTCCCCGTCTACATCCACCATGCTGGGAAAGAAAATCAAGTCCAAGTTACCAAAATATCTGTATTACCTATAAAAATTGAACTCTAACACGTCACTGCTGCTAGAGACGGCGACATCCAACGAGGCTAGGCTGGCTGCAGGAGCAGACGGCTCGGCCACCAGCCCGCAGGTGGAGCGCGGTGCGGAGTGCCCGTGGGCAGGCTCATTTGTAAGGCCTCAGAAACCTGGACACTTTGGAGCGCAGCAATCGGATGAAGGACTTTGGAAACATCTCCCGGGACTCCTGGACTGTGTGCTTGAAATAGTTCTGGGGGTGGGCCAGGACATCAAACAGCGCCTTGATCAGTTTCTTATCCTGAAAAGAACAGGACTTCTGTTACTGGGCCAAATTATTTAAACATGCTGACATTTCGCCAAGGGAACTATAATGACCCAGTGTTAGGCTGCATAGCCGAAAAACACTTTGTGAAAATGGTTTCCTCTGATTTTTATCTTCTCACCCAGTTCTTAGTTTTCCTAAGAAATAAGGGAAACTTTAATGTTAAAAAATATAAAACTCTTTTGCTTTTCTAAACTGGATGAGATATAAAAATGGAATTTGGGGAATTTTTATTGGGATAGTGATATGGCAAGTGTTCATTGATAGTTACTTATAAATGTCTAAGATTTGGTGAATTTCACTCTTGAAGGAGCAAGAGCCAAGGATCTTCAACTATTTGGAGAATCAACATGAAAACACTATTTGCCTCTGGCTTGTATTAATGTAATGATAAGCAAGGTTCTTACTGCTCCTCTACCACACTTCTCCAAATTAAAAAATACAACTATACTCAACAACATTAATGACAGCTTCCTGAATTTGTTTAAAAAAAGCAAACTCAAAGTCTGGTAAAAATATAAAAATAAGCTCAATCCAGAGCAGGCTCCGTGTCTGAAAGGCAGTCACGTGGAGCAAGAGGAGAGCTCCCTCCAAAGGTGCTGGGGCCCTGAGGGGGCTGCCGAGTCCACCTTCCATACCGACTCACCTTAAGTATTTCCTGATGATTCTCAGATGCATAGAGCCTGCCGTCTCGAACTATGTCTTCAATGAGTTCTTGGTAATCCTCTGTTGGAATAAAGGACATGTGTTGCATTGTATGGTTTAGTTATTTCCAAACTCACGGTTTCATTTTTTTTTTATAAGTTTCCGAGAAATGCTCCTTCAGCAGCTGCGATAGGAACAATGACCACTCAGATACCGAGAAGGCAATCAGGAGAGAATGTCCTCAGACTCCTCCACCACCTCCTCTCATCTACCAGCATCTGCACCCATCTCTCCGATTCCCTCTCCCCTCGGATAAACCTTCTGCGCATCCAGTCAAGGCCCATCCCTCCACTTTGCTCACTTTCCATCTTCTCTCACCAAATCAAGGGCATTGTTCCAGTAATTCTCCCCTTTCTTCCCTAGATGATAAAATTTCCTCTCTCTACTGGTCTTTTCCATCAGCCTGCAAACAAGCTGTTATATCTCTGATAAAAAAAAAAATTCCCTCTCTTGACCTCATTTCTTCCTCCAGCATCCATCCTACATCTCTGTTCCTCTTTATAGCAAAACTCCTTGAAAGAATTGCCAGAAGAATCTTTCTGATTCTACAGCTTTCTTTCCCTCCCAAACTTCCACTCAACGTTGCCCCCCACCGCTCCCTGAAAACCACTTGTTGAAATTACCAGTGACTTTTATGCTGCTAAATCCCAAAGGTCAACTCTCGTCCTCATCTTCCTTGATGCATCAGTAGCATTTGACCTGGCCAGTCACCCCTCCTCTTGATCCACTTCTCCACTCAGCTTCCAGGAAGCCACGCTCACTGGTTTTCTTCTTACCCAACTGGTGTCTATCTGGGCTTTCCCTCCTTCTCTTCCTGACCTTTCACTGTAAGGAGTCCAAGGACTCAGTGCTTGGATGTCATCTCTTCTCTGTTTATACTCACTTCCTGGTGAGCTCACACAGGCTCTTGGCTCTACTCTCCCTCTCTACTTTTCTCCCCTCCTCACTTTTTTCCGCTCTGACCTTGCATTATGTAAGACAATCAAGCTTCTTTGCTATCTAATACAACTTCTCTCTCTCTCTCTCTCTCTTTCTCTCTCTCTCTCTCTCTGAATGGGGTTGGGATGGGGAGAATTTGGCAGGTTAGAGAGGGAAGGATGCTATGTTCATTTTCTCATTGATAATTTTGGGTCCTGACATACACATTAAATGCAGAGCACACAATGTGAGCCTTCTCCAAATGTAACCCCCCCTTCAAACTCTAGTCTGTTCCCTACCGTCACAAGTCAAATCAAGCATACGCAAAACACAATCCTTTTCAAATTCCAGGCCAAAAAAATGCCTCTTTATATGCGTATCATGTGCAACAAAATCAAACAAATCATAACAACATCATTGGAACTGTGTGAGAGGAGTTCTTGAAGAAGTTTCTCCTAGTCAAGGGATGGTGAATGGAAATTAATAGTATAATTGTCATAGTTATGAATTTAACACATGAACAGTATCACTTGTACTCTACTTTCTTGGTCTTTTATTTCAGTAAATATAAAATATGAGTAAGGACTGTGGACGAAGAAGAGACCACATACTAAATCTGACCAACTCAGGGGAGGCCTGCGTGATGGGCCTTACCAACTCAGAGACTTAAAGTAACCACATGGCATGGTCTGAACATGAAAATTCCTAACTACAAGCGAGTCATGGCGGGTAGTCACAACTTAGGCCTATGGCTTCCTTGACAAAGGTCAATTTTTGCCTTAAACAAGCCTGTCTATTGTCTTTTTGCACCTACGAAAGCAATGTATAAGTAACCTCCTTTTTCCAGACCTCTCCAATGCACCAGACCGTGACACCACAGCCCCTCATTGCTACCTTGTCCCCTTCATACCATCTCTATGTGCTGTGGACATTATTAACTGTACCCACCAATGTAAAAGAAGTGCTTGTCTATTTTACTCTTTATCCAATCTCAGCGATTTCCCCAGCTTTGCTTTCTCTCACGCCTTAATCTACCACCAATGGATTTCATGTAACCCCCCCTCACATCTCCTCCTTTACTTGGAATGTATAAAGGAAGCTGCAAAACTGCCATTCCCCAAAGCATTTTCTCAACCCATTGATATTTTGCTTCCTGGCAATCTTCATCAGTTTGGCACAAGTGAACTCATAAGCATTCTCTATAGGCCTGGACTTTCCTTACGTCAAAGGGCGTGTGTTGCCTCCTCTCTTGCTCTGACTGTCCTGAGAAAAGCAGTCAGGTGTTGTAGGTAAAAACTCTGCAACTTTGTGCTGCTATGACCTTGTGATGTCACTCAAATCGCCCAGTGCCAGTGGCCTCAATTGTAACATCAACACAGAATCGTGTCTGTTCCATGGGCGACTGTGAGGAATGCGCTCTGTCAAGGGCATGTGACGCATGCCTGGCGCCCAGTGATGCTCCATCCATGTCAGTGAGGATAACAGAATCCTCTGTCCTCCCAGGTCAGTGGGAGAGTCTCACCTGCCCATCTGTTCTTCTATGTTTGGAAACCAGATATCAAATTTGCTGTAATATATGTTCTTTAAAAAGAGATGAAGTAAACTCTGAGTGAAAACCTAACAGGCTTCTGTAGGTGGCCAAAGCAGCTGTTTTCAACTATTTTCTGCTATGGCATTGCAAGACACATGCTCGTGGGCCTAATCAGGGTTGTGTGTTCTTTATCTAAATTTTAAAAAATTAAGACAGTGCCCTGGCCAGTGTACTCAGTGGTTAGAGCACCAGCCCTCGAAGCACGGAAGGATCATGTGTTCCGAGCCCCAGTCAAGGGCACATACCTGAGTTTCAGGTTTGATCCCCAGCTCTGGTCAAATGCATTCAGAAGGCAACCAATTGATGTGTCTCTCTCACATTAGTCTCACATGTTAGACTCTCTCTCTCTCTCTCTCTCTCTCTCTCTCTCTCTCTCTCATTTTCTCTCTCTCTCTCTCTCATCCTGGGTTCAAGGGTTAACAAAAGAACCCCCCAAAAGTCAAGATGGTTTCTTCTGTCCCAAAGGCAGAGTTGAAAACAGCCAGACTAAAGTATATGAGCCTTGGTGACACTTATTCTGGTGTCTCTGTGTCGTTTTGGGCTCCTTCCTGATTCCATAGAGGGGAGGTGGTCAGCTGGTAGCTTTCAGGTAGATGAGGCTCTTGTTTCTCTCAGCAGAGCCACGTGGGAGGCACCTGTGTCCACCTAGGAGTCTGAGACTAAGAGCTCTTGTCTTGGGTTTGACATGGCTTCAGGCATAAGGAGGACAATCCCATCTTTTGTAACATGTTAGAAAAAAACTATGTGAAGTGTTTTTAGGAAATCCATATGATATTGTCTTTCCAAAAGGCCTACTTTTGGCAGCTGTCTAACCACCTTCAATGGCCCCCTTCTGAGATCCAGAATGGCTTGTCTAGAGCCATCCAATGAATTAGAGAATCTCTACTAGAACCTGTATCTTATTACTCCAAATTATATGTTTAGATTGAAATTGGGAAAATCACTCATGTCTTACGAATTAAATATGATTGTGTATGGGAAAACTAATTTCTTCAAAAGCTGCTTAATTTCAAAGACAGTGATTATGATGATCTTTATAAATAAATATTTTAACATTTTAATTCAGTGAAAAGTATAAGACTGAGCACAGGCAACAGCCTTATCAAAGCAATTTGGTCTCAGTGTTGACTGAGCTGGAGGAATAAACCAAACATTAGATGTCTTTGTTCTTTTCTAACCTAAGCAGAATGGCCTGTCTTTGTAATCTTCAAAAAAAAAAAAAAAAATAACGCTGGTCTATGACTCTCTGCCTGTAACAGAACAGAAATCTTATGGATTAGGTTTTCTCGATCCTGAACCACAGAAGGAAATAAAAACACACTCTTTTTTATTTCTCTTCTGAAGCATCTCTGTGTCCCCAGATGGCTGTTTAAAATTTGGCACTTGTGAGTCAGCAGTGTCCTTCCTCTCCATCCTGCCTGGGCTCCCGAACATGTGTGCATGTCTGAGAGCCACCCGCTGCCCAGGCGTTGGTGCTGTCCAAAGCAGGCGGCCCGAGTTTCCCAGGGCTTACCGTCATAGGTCACGTACGGGACCTGGAACCCTCTGGCGCTGTTTCCCTCGTTGGACTTGAACTGAATCCACAGCTTCTTCGACCTGGAGGTGAAGGCGATGGGGCGCTCGTAGGTCTGGCATGTCTCGTAGGTCGTCACGGAATTGGACGAAGCTGCAAAGGGAAATCGGAGCGGGCGGAATTCAAGTTCATCACCGAGCAGGCCGACCACGGGCACGCCTCTTTCCAAAGGCTCACACCATAACAAGCTGTGCTGCATGGCTCTCCGGGCCCAGCGGAGCCCTCCTAAGGGCCAAACCTGGGAATTGTGTCCACACACCTGGTGGTGTGGCTCCCGGGGAGGCAGCGGGAAGGCCGGGCCAGGCCCCAGCAGCAGCCCAGGCCGCAGTGCTCCTGAGGGGCTGGGGAGGGGCCCTTGATCCCTGCCCTGATCTGGGGATTAGCACCGCCATTCACTGCGGGCTTCTGGGGGCCAGGCGGGGTGCTCCGCCCTCTATAACTTTATCCCACGAAACCTCTGAAAACCCTGGGAAGTGCATACACTGTAACCTGACCTGGGCCCCACCACCAGTATGTGGAAAAGTCAGGAATCAAACCGGCACCTGACTTCAGCCACGGTAACCACCTCTAAGAATAGCAAATACTTACACGGTGGCTCCATATGTCAGTGTTTTTTCTAACTGCTTTATGAATATGAACTGATTTCTTCCTCGTAATCACCCTATAAGGGAGCAGCTACTCTCCTCATTTTAACAAATAAGGAAGCTGAGGCACAGAAAATCCAGAATGTATATCCAAGACCAGAGAACTCCTAGAGGTGGAGCTGGGATTCAGATCCAGGCCGTCAGGCTGCAGAGCCCGCCCAGCACACTGCCTCTGAGCTGTGTTAATGGCAGTGTCCCAATGGATAGGGATGGGACCCTCCTGGCTGGATTGCCCTTTGCCTCGGTCAGTCCCCACATGCTGAGTTATTTCACTGACTCTCTGTGTCCGTGGGGAAGAGGGTCCCAGAGACACAGAGGGGAAGACTGACCTGCAGGAACCCCACTTCTTCTGGGGGTCAGCAAGAGGCCTCACTGAGGGGGTTTTGTTGAAATTTTATTTCCTGGGAAACTCTAAAAACTCTTGTCCCATCTCTGTTCTAACGCGAAGGTGACATTCTGGGCCTGGCTCACACTGACCGCTGGGCGCACACCCCCGGCTGCCCCGCAGCCACGGAGGGGAGGGGCCGAGGGGGAGGACGCACAGGTTTTCCGCATCACCAGGTAGTCCCCGCAGTCGTCCTCTATGGGCAGGAAGATCTCGGGGACCACGATCAGGATGCGGCGCTTGGGGGGTGGGTTGATGGTCCACGTACACTCGGTGTTGGCTGGGTAATTGCCCGGGTAGTTCGGGGACTCAATGTACCCGGTGAAATCCCCCAGCTCCCCTCCACATCTTCTGTCTGGAAGCGGAAACAGGATGAGTTAGGAAGGCCCAGCCGTCCCTCTGTAACAGCTGCCCGCAGCTCGGCTGCAGAGAGCCACCCAGGCCGAGGCCGGGGCCGGGGAAGGACACCCTCTAGGATGAGTCTGTTCCTTCGTGCCCAGGACCCCGTTGGGAGCCCAACTACACCAACGCCCCTCGCAGAGCCACCCTTCTGAGTCCCTGGCGCTGCTTTCTCACTAACTGGGAAGCGCTCAAGGTCAGGGGCAGGCATTCATCAAACAAAAGCACAGCTTTAGTGCTCATAGGCCTGGTTCACCACGTGCAAGTGCCAGGAGAACCGTGACACGGAACTCCCAGGTCTGTCAACACAGGGAGGACAGAGCGTGCGGCTCAGCAGAGGAGAGCTGACCCTTCCCGAGAAAGCTCTGATGAAGACATGGCAGCCGTTTCTTTCTCCTTTCTCTCCGGTAAAGACCATGTTTTATTTTACTTTTTTTCTTTTTAATATATTTTATTGATTTTTTTACAGAGAGGAAGAGAGAGGGATAGAAAGTTAGAAACATCGATGAGAGAGAATCATCGATCAGCTGCCTCCTGCACACTCCCCACTGGAGATGTGCCTGCAACCAAGGTACATGCCCTTGACCGGAATCGAACCTGGGACCCTTCAGCCCACAGACCCACGCTCTATCCACTGAGCCAAACTGGTTTTGGCCATATTTTATTTTTAAGTGAGAAAGAGAATTCCAATATTCCCCTCAGGCACCAAAGGCAAGCAGCACACACACACACATACACACACACACACACGCCCTGCCCCCATGTGGACAGGCACTTGCCCTGGTAATCAGGACTAAACGCCTTAGAGAGAGACCTACTTTTACACTGGGTTATGTTTGTGGAACCATCAAAGTCAGTCGTAGTATTTCCCGGACAAGAGACACAATGATTTTTTCCAAATTCGGGCTGATAGGTCCCCGCCGGGCAACGGATGCATCGGTGAGTGGTGGTGTTGTAGAAATGTCCAGGTGAGCACTGCACTGTGGGGGCAGGGAGAAGGAAGAAAATGAAAAACAAACAAGAAAAGAAAAAAAAAGACTCTTTCATCCGGTGCAACACAAATGGTTTCACAGTTAGGTAATAATTTTTCCTCCCAAAGGAAGTAACTTTCTGACTAAGCCGGGGCTACTCAACACTCAAGTCCCTAACTAGCCAGCTTGGGTGGGACTTGTGACTCCTGTTGCTGAGAAACAAGCAAAGGGAGCAAAGTAGGGTGTCTCCTCAGAGGTAGGGTCCACGCAGAGCCAGGCAGAAGCAGGCACATGTGTGAGAGCTGAGGGTGCAGAACTGACACTGGGTGTGGAGTTGGATTCCTGCAAGAGGCTGCAGGAGTGGGGCTCAGGGGGGAGTGGGGTGCAAGGTAAGGGTGCTGAGGTATTGGAAGGCTGGGAGGAAGGAGCCGAGGAACCCACATGCACCTGCTCATGTCTCTCTGCTTGTCTCTATAGTCAGCCCTGTCCGAAGGGGCCCAGGTGGCTGGGGGAGACTGTGTCTAGGGGATCCCATGCTCCCTGCACGTTTGCAGGGGTGAGTGGAGCGGTACCCGCCCGGGGCCGCTGGGACACCACACAGGGCACCTCTGGGCCGAGCTTGACTGGAGCTTTATCAGACTCCCATGGTTCTCAAAAGCGAACATCGGTTCTGGAAAAAGGCAAGCTCTGTCCTCACCTCTGGTTTCACAGTCCTGGAAGGAAGTGGCTCCCAAGTGTTTGGTGGGGAGCCCTCCCCCACAAGAGAAGCAGGAAGTACGGCCGGCTTCAGGCTGGAACGTGCCAAGGGCACAGAGCTGGCAGGGTGCGAAGCCGTCCGCAGAATATTCGCCAGGTTGGCACAGACCTGGGGGACCAATGACCCTGGGTGAGCAAGGGCCCCGGTCAGAGACCCTTCCCCGTCTCTCTCTTCAGGCAGGCCTGTCGCTGAGCTCCCACCTCGCTGAGGAGCCCGCCCTGCCCTGCTGCTGGACCCGAGCAGGTGGCCTGTGCGTGCCTGACGTTTACACTCAGGGCTACACAGCACAGCGCGAAGATGGAGACCAAGGAGCCACGTGTGACGTGCTTCCAAAGGATGGAGCAGCGGGGTGTGCTTCAGGCTTAGGACTGTGTGGAGCTCAGGCAGCCCCGGCCACGTAGGAGCCCAGAGAGAGGGTTCTCAGGTCAATGTGCTCATTCGACCCAGAAGTACACCCTGACCCAGCTGAGAACACCCCAGTGATAGTTTCACCAATTATATTTACTAAATCCTATCTCCTCACCCTGAGGTGTGTCCTGGTCTCCCTAAACCCAAGCAACCTAGTCCACAGTGACAGAGTGGCCCAGTGGTCTTTACTTGAAGCACCTTACTTTATTATTATTATTTTAAATTTATGACAAGAAGCACAGTCATAAACAAAAGGATTTCTAAAAGTATATTGTAGGGAGTGGCTATAGGGTTAAGTCTCAGACTGACCTGTTGGCAAAGCCACAAACAAGTCCCAGTTTAGAGGGCACAGCCCTCTTAGCGTAATTCAGCTTGACCTTATGACACTCCCTAGATCCTTCCTGGGTAGCTAATGGGCTGTGGGAGGTGCAGCAAGTGCTGCCAAAACAAGTAAAAATAATAAGAACATTGTAACTATGTTGACCACTATCTTGTTTACCTGTGACTATAAAATAAAGGCTCAGTTTGCCATCTGGATCTTTGCTCTATGGCCTCAGCCAGGCACCGGAAGATCCACCTAGACCCAGCTACATCCTTCGCCGCCCTCCTTCAGGCTTGCCAAACCCGTGGCTGTGCTGGCATGACAAAGTATATGTTCCTTAAGAATTAGCTTGTGCCGAAACCGGTTTGGCTCAGTGGTAGAGCGTCGGTCTGCGGACTGAAAGGTCCCAGGTTCGATTCCGGTCAGGGGCATGTACGTTGGTTGCGGGCACATCCCCGGTAGGGGGTGTGCAGGAGGCAGCTGATCGATGTTTCTCTCTCATCTACGTTTCTATCTCTCTATCTCTCTCTCTTCCTCTCTGTAAAAAATCAATAAAATGCATTAAAAAAAATTAGCTTGTCATTGGCATGATGCTGTTGTTTCTTGTATTCCTAACCATTAGTTTTCATGGTCATCTTTCTACCTCTGAGTTGTAGATATGATGGCATTTAACAAACACACCCCCAAAGGAGAATCTGGAGTCTGTCAGACCTAGTGTCTGATTCCAAATCCTCTACTTCTTGTCTGTCTGACTTTGAATGAGTCACTTTAACCTCTTAAAGCTGTCGTAGTGATACAACCATATGGAAAATTCATGTAATACACTTAGCATGATGCCTGGCACAGGTAAATATTCAATAAATGTTAGCAATTAATATTACTACTAATGTGCTTATTACTATAAATATATCTTAATAAGGTCACGTACAAGTGTGAACAGATGCCCCAAGGTGCCTCCTTATCAGCTTTGCTGTTAGTTCTAGATTTTCATGGCAGGTGAAAGTTATGCTAGGAGTAACACTTTACCCGAGGATCTGATTTTTAAACCAAAAAAAAGGAGCTGACGTTGAGTTTGGCACGTTCAGGTGGGAGCTAAGTTGGTTCTGGGAGTCTCTGGAAGGAGAGGCAGGGGCTGCGGGACCCCATGTACCCTTCCGCAAACATTACCTACCCATCGCCATGTCAGATCACCTTCCACCCAAGCCCAGTGCCCGTGCCACTGGTTTTTCTTCCGTTTAATGAAGAGGAAGATGTTTACCAATAAAATAAATAGAAAAGATGCCCTTGAAACCTAAGTAAGCTTGACTCCAGGGAACATTTTATTCAAAGAGATGATTAAAAACTCTCCATAGAAAATTTTATAAAATAACCAGATGGGCATTTTTAAAAATAAATCAATACGCTATGAATTTGAGACCAAAGCTGAAAAAAGAATGAAAACTACTTTCTCCATTTTAGCACTTTTGATAGTCCTTAGCACTGGGCGATCACTGAGGTCTGGGGGTATATTTATTTACAGTGAATGAAGCATGCAATTGCAATGTTTATACTTTTTTTTTCCCCTACCACAGTATTCTATCAGATCTTCATTTATTTATTCAGCAGAGCATCTCCCAGACTGTGTCAGGCTCTGAGCTATTGGAAAGCCAACAAGGAACTCAACGTGGCCCAGCTGCGGAAGTGCAGTTGCTGTGTCTGTCTGAACCTCGCCTTCTGTCTGAACCATGACACTGGACTCAGTGGGGTAAGACGGGGCAGGCGAACCCTTACCTCCACACTCAGACACATTCCAAGCATCTAGGGCCTTCAGGGTCCTAGGATTGTCTGGTCTTGGGCATGGCTCACATGTGATCTGTCCTTCCTCATTTTGGAAGGTTCCATTCGGACATAAAATGCAGCGTTCTTGTGATCCATCGTAGTAAGTCCCAGCCCTGCAACTGACTAGCCAAAGGGGGAAACAGTCTGGTCAGTGAGGGGACAGAGGCCAAGAAAGGACAACGTGAATGCTGGAGATGAGGGAAAACAGATGCCATTGACCTCAACCCCTTCCCCCTACAAACCCCTGAATACAGAATGTGCAGTTCCCCTGGTTCTCTGTGCACACCCCTCCGTCACTTCCTCTGTCACCCACCGTCAGAGGCATTCGCAGGTCCTCTCTCCCTAGGCCATGAGCTCCGGGGCAGGGGTCACAGTGGCCCTAATTATCTTTGAGCACAAGCACCTGCTAATTCTCCCTACTTCACTGGGCTGGCACTAGAAGAAGCCACAAGTTGAGAATCACTCATTGAACATAGACATAGTAATGGAAGAGCGGAGAAGAAGGTGCTTTTAATTCTGGCTGGTGGCTTCCTAGAAGGCCCCCCTGGAGGTGGCCATATTTGTGTTGGGCCTTGAAGGATGAGTAGGATCTCCCCCCAGGTAAGAAGAGGGGCAGGTTGTAAAGATTTCCTGCAGGACGTAGGAGAGAGGGAAGAAAAGAAGGCTGGGAATAGGTTGGAAAAGTTCTTGAGTGCCAGGCACCTGGATCTTATTCTGCAGGTAAAGCAGCCATGGAAAGGAGAGGAATACAGCCAGAAGCTCTGTTCTGAAAAGTTCACTCTCTGGTGGCTGTGGGGAGTGACCTCCAGGGCTTGCAGATAACTCTCAGGAAGAGCACAGATTGTATTTATAATACAATTGAAATGTTACAAAGAGCAAACCCTTGTCAATATCTCCTGGGAGAATAAACTACAAGGAAATTAATAAACTATGCTTTTAATTATATTTTTAGTGGTGTTTGTTAAATGTGAACTTATATCTTATATTAGGAAATGAATGTAAAGTTGAGTTACATTCAACTTTTACATTTAGGGGACACTAAATTGAGTTCCCTAATACAATACTCAAACACCATCATCACAACCATTAAAATAACCTTTCTAGTGACTAAGATTTGTTCAATATTTACAATCTACTAGACACCATGCCCAAAACTCCACGTCCATTATCTCACTTATTCCTAAAGACATCAGTAAGGAGCTAGGTCTATTGTCAGCTCCATTTCACAGAAACAGAGATGTGGGGGCCTTCAATAATTTGGCCACATTCCCACAGCTAGTCTGTGAAATGCACCCAAGGTGAGATCAAGAGCTTTGAATTTAAGGGAGAAAAGGGTCATTTAACAAAAATGCAGATTGAATAACAATTCAAGATGTTGTCAAGGATTCTCCATGGGGCATTATAGGAAGTTTGACTGGGATAAACACATTGTAATTTATACTTAAGGTATCAAGAAATAGAAAACAAAATATCACATGATAAAATTAGCTATTGTACCTCTTGAATGTTTGTCAGGGGGGATATCTGTTTTCATTCTGTCTTACCAATGCAATCCACATATATACTTTTAGGGTTACACATGATGTAGTTCTTTATTACAGTAATAAAAATGTCTTTTCATTCTTCACCCCATAATTTTAAAAAATGAAGCCTTTAAAAATATCATACTAAGCCAAAAGAAGCCACATTTCAAATATTATTTTTACACTTAAATGCAATCTATCAATAAGGTCTCCTCTAAAGGCTAAGTCTTAATGCTTTTTTAATATTGTTTGGATTTTCTTTTACAATAGTCACATATCATTTAATTTTATGAATACTTAAAAAATATTAAAAGTGAACCAAAAGCAACAGCCCCCACACTCATTATACTGTTGTTTCTTGGCAGGCAACGGTATACTGAGTAGGCTGCACCTCTCTGTGCCAGACCACGCCTGTTACTCCAGACTTAATTCTCTCAATGCAGCCCTCCTGGATAACAGTTTCCATAATGACTCTTGTTTCAACTCATCCCCCCTGAAAAACTGGGCTGAATTATGTAGTGAGAATGGATGACTTTGGCCAAAACCAGTTTGGCTCCCTGGATAGAGCGTCGGCCTGCAGACTGAAAGGTCCCAGGTTCAATTCGGGTCAAGGGCATGTTCCTTGGTTGCGGGCACATCCCCAATAGGGGGTGTGCAAGAGGCAGCGGGTCGATGTTTCTCTCTCAGTGATGTTTCTAACTCTCTATCCCTCTCTCTTCCTCTCTGTGGAAAATCAATAAAATATATTTTTTTAAAAAGAATGAATGACTTTTTATTTTGTGTCCCGCCTGGCGACCCACAAGACGACCCGAGTGGCCATAGCCGGCCGGTATGGAAGAGCTCAATCCCTTCACTCCTCTCACAAAACAACTGTCATAAAGATGTGCAGAAGGTAAATGAAACCTAGGCTGCCTGGAACCCCTCGAGCCCAAGCCATTTCCCTTTGGGAACAGCTGTTTCCACGGCACTCCATTCACCTACAGGGGAAGTGCCCATCTGACGGCAATGTTTGCAACAGCCTCATTGATTGTCACTTCCCATCGGGTCCGCATGGTCAGTTCCCTCCGAGATCCTCTGGCAGAAGACAGATCCCCTCTGGGGCGGACAGCAGTGGCCCTGGTTCTCACTGAGAAGAGGGCCTTCGGCCGCTCTTGGTGTCCAGTTCTCCTTAGAACCATTTAACCCTCCTGCCTGCCCCCAATGCCTTTTCACGCTCACATTCTGAGAAACCTCACAATAGCCCACATCTGCTGCAATTTCTCAGCTGAGCGGAGGGCTGAGCAATGCCCCTGGGGTTGCCCTGCGGAAAGAGGGCACCAGCTCTTTTCTCTCCCAAGGAAAAGCTTGCTTCTCATAAACAAACTCATACTGTCACTCACAGCTTCCATTTTCCTTCCCTGCGAGAAAGACCTACAGAAATAACCCAGGCCAAGCACCTTCCACACTAACTTGTTACTTTTCACAAGATAAAAATGAGCTCAGCCCTAAAGAGTGATTCTGAAATGGCAGGAAGAGATGCCCGAAACAGCTCTTTGCAAATGTGCTTGAAGACCTGCCTGGAGAGACCTCATTCACATGTTGGTTCTCTTCTCCTTGAGCAGCCAGCGTGTTTGGCTTCCCCGGACAAAGGAACCAATTGCCCCCACAACCCTTGGTGATCACCGCAAAGCTTTTGTGTGTCTTCAGTGACCATTAAAATCCCATCCTCAAATCCCACACAGCTGTTTTCTCCCTGTCTTCAAAAGAAAAACACAAGCAAGCTTTTCTGATGCAAAAGGGAGAGAGACCAGCGGCACCAGGATTAATGGCGACAAAGAGACCCGAAGGCCTGCCCTCTTTTCAGCACTGCCGCCTTTGAGGGTTTCAGGCTATGGGCAAACACTATGGTGTCTCTGTGGCGAAGATGGTGAACCTAATAAAAGAGGTCACTCTCTAGCATCTGACTGTTTTCTTAAGCATCACGCCTTGACTTCTGAAGGAAAGCCACAAGCAGCCCACGGGGATTCCCAGGGTGATGGGGGCTGTGCTTTGTCACAGCTCAGGGGCCCGGGTGCTCTAAGCAGTGCTGGGGCCTCAGGATCTGAGTCTGAGCCACTTTTAAAGGAGACTTTTGGGATAACAGGATCAATCCCTTGGGCTTGATTTGTCCAGGTTTCTGGTGTGTGCTCAGGTTTGCAATTTGAAAACATCCTTAAAGTTGGGGCAGAGACATGAGCCCAGCTTCATGCTTCCCTTGCTGGGTTCCCCAGTGCATGGTGGTTCTCTTCGTGCCTAATTAACTGGGGCTGAGGTTTCACTTCCTTCGGAGTGCCTCTTTGGCCCTCAATATAAATATTTCCCCGAAGATTTGCCCTTTGTCCTCTTTTTTTCTTAACATTGAAAACTATCCTTGGGATTTCATTTGTTGCTGCTCTGAAAATTCATTTACTCTTTCATTCAATTAAATAGTTACGGAGCACCCATGTCTTTATAGTCAATTAATATTTGACAAAGGAGGTAAGTACATACAATAGGGTAAAGATAGTCTATTCAATAAAGGGTGTTGGAAATATTAGACAGATACTTGCAAAAATAAAAAGAAACTAGGCCATACAAAAGAATAAACTCAAAATGTGTTAAAGACTTAAATGTAAGACTCAAAACCATAAAAATCCTAGAAGAAAACATAGACAGTAAAATCTGAGACATTTCTCACAGCAGTATTTTTCTTTCTTTTTTTTCTGATACAGCTCCTCGGGCAAAGGAAACAAAAGAAAAAACAAACAAATAGGACTATATCAAACAGAAAAGGAAACCATCAACAAAATGAAAAGATAACCCACTAAGTAGGAGAACATATTTGCTGATACATCTGATAAGGTGTTCATATCCAAAATTTAGAAAGAACTTGTAAAACTCAACATCAAAAACAAACCACAAACAATCCAATTAAAAAATAGGCAAAGGACCTGAATAGATACTTCTCCAAAGAGGACATACAGATGGCCACTAGACATATGAAAAAATGTTCAACGTCACTAAACATCAGAGATGAAAAAAATCACTAATTGTACATCAAAACCACAATTAGGCCAAAACCGGTTTGGCTGAGTGGTAGAGCGTCGGTCTGCGGACTGAAAGGTCCAGGTTCAATTCTGGTCAAGAGCATGTACATTGGTTGTGAGCACATCCCCAGTAGGGGGTGTGCAAGAGGCAGCTGGTCAATGTATCTCTCTCATAGACATTTCTAACTCTCTCTTCCTCTCTGTAAAACATCAATAAAATATTTTTTTTAAATGTTTAAAACCACAATTAGATATCAACTCAGAATAGCTATCATTAATAAATCAACAACTGACAAGTGCTGGTGAGGATGCAGTGAAAGGGAACCCCTGTGTACTATGGTGGGAATGCCGGTTGGTACAGCCATTGTGGAAGGCTGTGCTGCGTGACCTCAAAATTAAAATTGGGGCTGCCTTATGGCCCAGCAATTCTACTTCTTGGAACTTATTTGAAGAAATCTGAGACACTAATTTGAAGGAATATATGCACCCCTATGTTCACTGCACTGTCATTAACAATAGCCAAGATTTGAAAGCAACCCAAGTGTCCATTAGCAAA